TGTGATAGAAAGCGTTTTTGAATATGAAAGCCGTCATTTGTACTAGAAGACAGTTACACATATTTGCACATAGATGTTTGATTTAAAGGTCCCATGTCATGCTTTTCCGGTTATTACCCGTCCCCTTGTGTGTTATGTAGCTTGTTATGCATGTAAACGGCCTGCAAAGTCACAAACCCTCAAAGTACACCCTGTAGCGAGTAAAACTCTAACACAGAAAAGACGTGTCTATGCTGTCCCAGAACGCCTCGTTGGAGATTTCTCTTTTTCTTCCTGGTACTAAGTGACGTAACGACGACCCAAATGGACCAATCCGCGGATCCGTTACGTTGCGTCGGTGGAGCCGTTACGTTAAGTAACTTAAAGACTTCCTCACGCTGCGAGGCTGCGGGTGTGTGCTCGGGCTGGTTTCGGGCTGGGTTTCGCTGTGTCTCGCTGTCTCGCCGACCCCACGCAGCAACCAGGAAACCACACCAGTAAGCCAGCTCACACTGTCCGCTCCTCGCAGCAGCGAGCCTCGCAACGTCGAGCCTCGCAACGTCCCGCCAACACGGCACCCAGACCCCACGCAGCATTCTCATCTGTTTGTCATTACTGGTGTCATTTTCTGGTTGCTAACAAACGCCATTGTAACACATAATCACTGATGTTCCGCTGTAACGGTGGTGGACTCATCAGAACAGAGTGGGTGAGCTGACCAATCAGAGCACACTGGGCTCATAGGGAGGGGGGGGGCAGGAGCTCCAACAAGCCGTTTAGGACAGAGAGTAAATACACATACTATACAGAGACGCTGTATGAGAAACCAATGTGAGTTTGGAAAATTGCACAATGTAAATCGATTCTAGTAGACCTCAACAATGGAATTATGATCAGTAGAAATGGCCATGTCATGGGACCTTTAAGAACTCCTCAATTTATCCAAATGTATTACTGTAACAATGTGTAACAGGGACAGTCCAGGCAAAAACACATACTGTATAATTCTAACATCTCTTACTCATGCAAGGGACCTTTGTTGAATCTCATCCCTTATTCCTCTTCCTTACTTACAATTCGTGTCTGAAAGTCTAAAAATATTCACACACCTGAATGTAGGACAGTTGCTTTGTGGGTAAGTGCAAACTTTAAAAGTGTGTAAATAAATATTTCAGCAGTAAACAGACGGTTTGAACATGTCTGTGCCATATCTAAATGATCATCTTCTGTCTGCATAATAAGCCGTATATCATACTTCTGTTTTATTGGATTTCATAATTGGTATATTTCCAACTCATCTCTTTTACTGGAACTCACTTTGGTGAAGACAAGCTCAACTCAAGTACATTTGAGTTTACTGGCACATGCACGCAGCACTTTACTCAACCAACATTGGGAGAAAAATAAATTTGCATTTGTTTGGAGTATACAGAAACCTTAAGAGCTAAGAGTTTGAGAGCTGGCTCAGGGACAGCCCAGCAGAGAAATGATCATAAATAGTGAAAGATAAATCACATCTGTGTGTAAGTGAGCCAGACTGAGATGGGCTCATTGCCAACGGCAGATTTCACCCTTTCAATAGCATTGGTTGATAGTGTTGAGAGATAAGTAGCCACAATGTTTAGATGTATGCATACAATGTCCAGAGCACATTGTTAGACATGTTGCACCTACATCTTCCCCTTCCAGTGTCCTTCACAAAGCCTTCAAGGGGGCACTCCATTACAAATTCCATCCATTACATTTCCATTAGGACTTAAAATGGGGGGAATACAGTATGTGGTCTCATTGTCTGGTGGGATCAATAAGGATGTTTTATGGCCTGTGCAATGTGAAACTATTGATCCTGAGATTGCTCAATGGCCTCAATATACAGTCAGTACAACCTAAATGACCTTGGCAGAAAGGCAGAACATTGAACAATGCTTGTTAATGATGTGCCTTTTGAATCACAGGAAATTTTAAAATATTTGTAGTTTACAGTTTTTAGATAGGCCTTCTTCTTAGCCAAGCAGTTAGCTTAAAATATGAAAAATCTAATGAAAGCATGCATGGCTATTGAATGTTTTTGTTTTATCACTGTATTGCTAACAGAAAAGAAGATATTAATTAACGCAAGTATAATTTCAATGGGACCTTCAGATCCATCAGAAGCAGCTGAGACATGTGGCAAAAAAGCTAATACTAGCTTACAGCTGTGCTAGCATACAAGGAAGAGTAGCAAAATAAGGCAACATCTTATGAAGCCTAATCACAGCTAAAGAAGCACCAGAACAACAACATTTATCTTAGCCACTTATCAAAATATTTTTGAATGTAAAGACTATTTGTAAGCCGTAGTTAACTTCAGCCGTCAAGCTAACATGTTAGCCAAATAGCACATGCTAGCACAAGTCAGTCACAATAACTCTCTGAGGTTCTTTTCACTGTATTGTGTCATTTCAATAACACATTATGAAATTGACAGTCTTGCGGAGAATATCACCAACATTATAGGTCTCTACGAGTGCTTAGACATACATTTTGGCTGTAGTTCAGTCTGTCAGGACTTGGGAACTGGAGTCCCAAAAGTACGGACTGGTATTTTGAAAGGTGCCATTTCCTCTCTTTGCCGAGGTGCCCTTGAGCAAGGTGCCAGATCGCAAAATCTAAACTTTTCTGTTGGTCGGTGCTGTGTATATTCCCATGCTTTGATGATTAAAGAGGATTTCATATTCATTTCCATTTTCCACTCCTATAGCTACCCTATTATATTTCAACCCAGTCTCACGGCATTTCGTGTTATAGTCACGAAATTAATTTAATCTATTGATTCGTGTTCACCAACACGATTTTAGCATTTTTTTCGTGTCACACAGAACGATTTTAAAAGCAATGTATTTCTATTGGTAGTATGTTTCGTGCCTGCAACACGTCTTTTTCTCCGGTCGGGTCTTGGAAGACCGGAAGCTGTGTGGTTCATAAAAACATTGTCTTACTCTATATCTTACCCTAAGCCTAACCCTATCGCTTTTATTTTAAATTGTATAATGTCAGAGTTTTTTTGCCGTCCACGAGGAAAAGAAATGGGGCTCAGAGCCTCAGAATACTGAAATCTGTATTTTTTGTCATCTTTTTATCCTTCTAATTTGTTATTATTTGGTGCAGGCACGAAACATACTACCAATAGAAATACATTGCTTCTAAAATTGTTCTGTGTCAGAATACTGAAATTTGTATTTTTTTAAATCTGTTTTTCCATCTAATTTGTTATTATTTACATTGCTTTTAAAATCGTTCTGTGTGACACGAAAAAAATTGCGAAATCGTGTTGGTGAACACGAATCAATAGATTAATTTCGTGATTATAACAAGAAATGCCGTGAGACTGTGTTGAATATTTGTAACCTTTTATGCAGTATTTTGACATCCAACTAATGGATGTATTATTCTTACCTCCACAATAATGCAGTTGGCATTTGTAAAATGCAGTTCTACTTCCCAGTATTCAAATTGCACTAAGGTCATGTTCATGCATACATCAGTGTAAGATAGACTTTATTATCCCAGTGGGAAATTTGCCTTGAACATCACAGTGTCTGCCATTTTAAATCACAGCAAAACAACAATAAAGAAAAACATTCATCCATCAATTGCTAATGCCCATCTAGATCACAACAAAGTGCACACATAGCCCCATATTTAATAGTAATAGACGGAAAATAGGAGATATAAGGCAGGCAAATATTTCAACCTAGGGGATGGTAAGTACTGCTAAAAATAAGCTGCTGCATTGAGGTAGTGGGAGGGCATTATAAGACACAATCACAAATGCAAACAGATATCAGAACACAATCTACTATACAGTATAATGAAATGAATTGCAAGATCCACTATGTTACACCTTGCAGCTCTTTGCTGTTCCAATTGCTTTGATGACTCTTATAACTTATAACTGCATGCATGCTGTGAAGGAAATGTTTATTTTGCTATCTGTTCTTCTTCTTCTCTCTCTGTGTGTCTTTGATGTTACCCTGAATGCCCTCTGTATCGCGCTGATTCATAATATCAGTTCACATTTTCTCTGGCCCCTGGCTAATGTGCTTTGGTAGATCTCTTGATTGGTACAGTAAGTGTAGTAAAATGCTTGAGTGTGCAAAGTGAAGTCAAGGTTAGCTGTTCCGCCCGAGTTTGACGCTCTATCTGATTCCAAATGGGGATATTTTCTCTCCATTTATCTGTCCAAGACAATGTCCCTTTCAGATAGGTGTAAGCAAGCCAAGGCTGCACTCCTACCTATTAGCTCTCCTGACTTGTCCTCTTGTAGAAGACATGAATCAGCAGCATGTTAAGCAGTAAAAGCTCAATAATATGCATCTTTAAGAGTAGATTGTTCTCAAATCTGATAATTCTATGTTTCATTAAATGCTTTCCGAGAAACATTTCTCTCCATGAGGTAAGATCATCTGTCTGAAGTGGAATGAAAACCACCTGAGTTCACCTTTTATGTTCCTGATCCTGCATTTTGGTCCACTTCCTTTTCATTTGTTGTATTTTTTTGTGCATGTCATTGCAGTTTTCTTTATTTATTTTTAAATATTTGTCTTTGATCATTACATACCTTGTTACTGTGTGGCCCTCCTATGTTTCATGTCTTCTCACGAAATGTCCTTGAAACTGCTGTGATGATGCAACGTCAGTTTATTTGGTGCAAAGCTGCACAGTGACAACAGAGTAACATGAGGTGGTCCCTGGAATACTCCACCAAAATTGTACCACTTGCACATCAAGTACTTGAGCCCCTCTAGTTTCAAGGGGTGACTTTTAACATTTTGAAAAGTGACCAATCATCTGCATTTTCAGTGGAGTGTTTCTCTCACTGCCCTTCAAGAACTGAGTTTGTTATCTCAATTTCAAAGCAAACATCCCATTTGTATTGTCAAGTGCTCGAGGGTCTGCAGCATGTGCTGTTAATGCAGATACACATCATCTCTTAACTCCTGCTGGGAATTAATCTATCCGTCTTCCTTCTCTCCTTCCAGTTGACCAAAGTATGTTTGAGAACTCCGTTGCCCAGCAGCAGAGTCCTCAGACGTCCAGGCCCGGCCCCCCCTCGGCCCGCCGCCCCCCAGCATCAGCTAGCCACAACCTGGGGTCCAGCTCTGTCGACTCTCCTTCCTCCGGAGGACAGCAGAGGCTTAAGAATGCCATTAACCTGGGCAAGGCTGTCGGGGCAAAGGTGAGCTCAGCCCAAGGATTCACTTCTTTACACCTCATGTATTCTTTAAACGCTTGATATTTGGGTCATAGAGTACATGTAATGTCTTTATTGCTGTACCAGTGGAGTTCATTTGAGTACTTTTTGTCTTTTCTGACTTTCTTTCTTCTTCCTCTCTGTCTTTTTTCTGTCTGTTTGTCAATCTTTGGCCCTTCCTTTTCTTTCTTTCTCTCAGGTCAATGACTTGTTAAGAAGAAAGGAGTCCAGCCACCTAGGGGACATTGGGGTCACAGAGGTCAACAAGAACGTTGATGTGGTGTGGAGCTGTATGGAGCAACTCAATCAGACCACTGCAAACAGGTAAACACACACACATATTTCTCCTTTATATTGGTGTGGAGGAAAGTACTTATTGTTGGTCAGATTAAACTTCTCAAACTTAATTTAAACTTTAATCTTGAAGACAATCACAAAGTAGTTTACAGACTCGTTAAGACAGTTTTATTTTTTATTAGACCTTATAAAAGGTCATTTGTTGCTCCTATTGTACTGTATGTATTTCTTTTTGTGGATACATTTGTAAAAAAAGTCACAAAAGCTTCCAAGGCTATGCATTCAATTATTTTGATTAAACCACTGAAAGACATATTTTCTGTTAAAATATGAAATGACCCTTTACTGACAGAAGAGTCTATAACTGTAAATAAGGCAGGAAAGGCAAAGGATTTATTATGTTTCCACTGAAATGGGGTTATAGAATGAATAATGACAACAAAGGCACCTGTGAGACGTCTGAAGTTCAATAACTCTGAAGTATTCAGCTTCTTACTCGGTCAAAATGGTAATGCCTTTAACTGTGTATTCATTCCCTGCTCACATGCACACACTCATCCAGGTTGTTTTGCATATCATATTTAAGGATTTGTTCCAGAAGTATTTTTCTTTTGTCTCTCCTAATAAAAATAATTCGAGTAGAAGTGATTTTTGAGCAGCTCTTTAAATACATTGAATTTTTACTGGGTGGGTAAATCTGTTTTAAAAGGATTTAAAAACAGATTTAAAACCAGAATGCGTGGAAATAAATATGTGGCGTTTTCAAGCCCAGAACATGTAAGAGCATCTTTACAGCATGACCTCATTCATCCCATCATTTCTTCTTGAGGATGTTAATTACATGCTCAAAAATACGACTACACTGCAGACCAGACACACATTCTGAATGAAATTAAGAAAATAATCAACATGACTAGCAAAACATTTTCAAAGTCAGATCCCAAGCCTTAAGTTAAGTTAGATTTTTCATATTTGGGCTTGGTAGAAGTTATCTTGGTAGAAATTATCTTGGTGGAAGTAATCAAATATTTTTCAAAAAGGCCAAGTGTAGTCGAGCCATTAGAAGTCCAAGTTCAGTTGCATGGTCTTTTATGATTTTTCTCAAACCAAGTCTAAAGTCTTCAAATGTGTGACTTTGTCTGTCTCGAGCCCAGGTCATCTGAGTCAAATCCCACTTAGGCTTTATTCAACTGGCCCCTTGCTTCTCTGGATCACTTTGATGCTCAATAATGTTTTTTACTGTCTGTTAATATCTCTGTATCAATTCTCTCCCCCAGTCACATCTCTTCCTTCGACTCCTTCCCCCGGCTGGACCCACCACCCCCGACGGGGAAGAAGCGTCTGCCCCGGGCTCTGAAGACCACCCAGGACATGATGATCTCCTCTGACCCCGTGGTCTCCTCCCCGGACCCCGCTGACTCTTCCTCCTTCCTCTCCTCTCCCGAGAAGTCGCCCCTCATCGGCCCAGAGGAGCCGAGGAGCAGTGGGGAGCAAAAGGAGGACGAGGGGTCAGAGGAGACCCCCCTGGGCCCCGCAGAGAAGAATGCTGATCGCTGGGAGAAGACGGGGAGCAACGGAAAAGTCCATGGAGTCACAGGTGGAGGAGAAAACGAGGTGGAGAACGGGAGCAGTGACGGAGGCGAGGAGGAACATCAGCCCCAGTTCTCTGTGCCGGACCTCATCAACAAAGACCCCCCGATGGTGGAGCCCAGAGCCAAGCCCTGCGACGTCTGGCAGAAAGCGTCGGGGCCCGAGTCCCGTCTGGCCTCCACCCCTACGGGGAAGACCTCCTGCCGCATCAGCCTGGGCGAAGACATCCTGCTGGGGAACGGCGCCCCCTGCAGTAAAGGGGCTGAAGACCTGGAGCCCCACCCAGACCTGCTGTCGTTTGAGTAACAAGCCAGATTCCAGATCAGTACGTCTCAAAAAGTTTCTGCTCTTCATTCCAACTAAAGAGGTAATTCAAACGGACTGATGGAGTACTGATCAAACATTCACTGCCACTTTGAAATACTTCCTGCTCCAGGGTTTGCTTTAGGGAAAGGGAACACTTCCAGGAATCAGGACATGGCCCGGATCTTTAGGAACTTTTTACCAAGACACTGCAAGCTTCATGCAGAGGGATTACATCATTTAACATTTCAAACTATAAAACACACATATATTAAGGATTCCTTTTTTCATTTAGTGTTTTAACACTTCCAAAGTTTTATATCATGTAACCTCTGCTTTAGTTATGAAGAAATATCAGATAATGAATTTAATTGAAGAAATGAAATATCCCTTTTAATGGGCGGAATAAGTAAAAACTACTCAATTCTGACAAAGATTATTACTTTTAAAGAATGTATTAAGTTAATATAGTATCATGCCATTCATTTTAAAAGGGATATTTGCTTCATAATGGTCACACTGTAAGTCCATATCCTACATAAGCTTCTACTATGAAACCAATTACAATATATATAAAGCAATATCTTTTACCTTCAATATAAATATAAGTTATAGCAGATTTTTCGTCAGTGTCATTTCCAGCATGAAAACTGAATACACAAAGAGGGAAACAAGATGGAGTGCGGACGTGTTAAAGATGGAGAGGTTTGGGGGGGGGGGGGGGGCTTCACTTTCAGTTCATTCGGTACAAAATGTCTTGCAGCAGTTTCTCAGATTGTGTCAGGACTGGAAGACTTTTGACCCGTACTGTAGCTTCATTCATATTAAGTAATGTATCCCCCTATTGGTCCAGAAGGAGGTATACATAATTCCCCTCCTACACTGGCCTCTGGCACAGATTGTGATCCTGAAAATGACCTCTTTTTATTTTTTAAAGTAAGATTATTGACCTGCATCCCAATCAATAGGTCACCTCTGTTTTGATTTATTTATATTTAAGAAATCTGGGATAGTAATTTTAAAAAGAAAAACAAGCAGGTAAAATAAGAAACAGTGCCAAAACCATGCAAGATTTGTAAGAGTTAGGATTTTTGAAAGGACATGTATTGCTCTTTGCTGGATCTGGATTAAACAGTGTTTCCTGGCAGCAGCAAACTGAGTTTCAGAACGGAGGAAACCAATACTACATTTAAAAGACTGTTGGTATTATGTGGTGCTGGCATATTGCAATAACAAATGAGGCAGCTTTGCCCTGGACCCCAGTCAATATGAACTAATATGTCCTGAGCAAATATTGGTAGAAACAAAATTGAGCAATTTGTGGGACCAGATTGAGAGAATTTAAATGAGCGCATCTCTGGTCCAAAATGAGAATGACTTTCAGGCTTCATTACTGCTGACATTTTTTTATTTTATGAACTGAAAGTAGAATGTTATTACACCCCGAAACCTGACAGAGTCTGGATGAAAGGATGTGCTGCTGAGAAGTTGTTTTCCAGCTAAAGAGCCCGAGAAGATAATGAGCTGTCAACAGAGAGAGATGAAAGGTGTGCTTAATCACAGAGTGACAGACCAAAGACAAAAGAATTAGCGGCTCGATCTTGTTTTGTCAGATTGTTTTGAGTTGAAAGGAAGCAATAATTCATGAGGAATATATAATCTTCTCCTTAATGTTATGGAAAAATGTAAACCAAAGTCAGAGCGTTTCAAATATTTAATAGCGATTCACTGGCTTGTTTTTGATTTTCGGACTTTTCTGACTCACCAGAGACTGAGTCAGGTGTTCAGCTGCTTAAAGGTGAGCTGATATGAACACTAAATAACCTGCTGCTGCGTTATCTGCTTCTACTGAATCAATGTGTGGCTGTTGCAGAAGCTGTCTTAGAGAAATTCTGTATTATATCAACACTATTATCCGAGCATTAGTGTGTTTTTATTACACTTCACACAAGGATACAAATTGCACATTTCAAACCCTAAAAAAAATCCTGTTTTTTCTGTGAGATCCTCAAGTGGCCTCTGTGAGTGACCGCTGTGTCCTCGTAAGGATTTCCTGACTTCAAAAATAAAGGGTGAACATTCCCAGAAGACAGTGAGAGGGACACAGAGCCAGCTGTAGTTTGGGCCAGCAGAATGAGAGGAATGTGGCAGAAAGAGAAAGGAAGCGTTGTCTCTCTGACTCCGTCTTACATACCACAAGTGTCCCCATTTATTTAAAGCTGTAACAAAACAGCTACGAGCTCAACCAAATTACACAAAATCATTTCCGAATTCTTTCAACCTTTTTGTAGACAGTTTAATACATTTTATCTTAAGTCTTAATAGAAAAAACATGATGTAGATTGTACAGAGGGCCTTTTGTGGAATCGCTCTGCTGAGTTTCCAAATGTCATGTTCGAGTGCATTTATGAGCACAAACTAAATCTATCTCCACCATATCGGGGTGGCAGATGTTTCCTAAATGAAACCATTTGCATTGCTAGATGACACCTTAGTGGGAAAATGTGTTGAATGAACTGGCCCTTAAATATCTGTGGGACTAGAGAGTGGAAAGCAAAAAGACCAGAAGTAGAGACCTTTACTAAAGTGGTGATTGTAATTACCCAAATATAGACCAAAACTTAATGTGTCACCCTAAAAAATAGGACTTTTTTTATTTTAGGCTTCAATTGTGTTGTACTAATTGAAGTTTTCTCGAAGCCCCTGAAAACATACTTCAAATTATTTTTGCATTTCTGATACTATTAGGTGGTTATCGCTAGTTTGAAACAACGCCCTTAAGTGTTATTTATAAAGATTTTACTGGTCAAATACTCTGATGTGATCACATTTAATTAACAATGTTGTTGATTTGACTCAAATGATGTTGATGGAATGTACATTTGTTGCTTTTTTTCTCAACTAAGTGCATTTGAAACCAGTGTGAACCACAAATATCCCATTGAAAATAACCAAAACATTTCCAACTTTGTCAGAAATGCTCCGTTCATGTTGTGTTTTCATGGACTTAAAACTAAAAAAAGGATTGTGTCTGTGTGTCTCCTGAATCTGACTTGTATTTGAAGCGACAATAAGGATGTTTAAAGGAGGTGATAAGAAAGTGTGTCACTCATCACAGATAATGAATAAACACTCACTAAACTGACATTTAGTTAGAGGGTGAAAGCAATAAAAAGAGAAAGAAAAGAAGCCGAATGCATTTCTAAGACTTTGAGAGCAGCCGCTAAACCACTAAAGTAGATTTATATTGTATTTTCTGATGAAGGAACAGTGCTGTATATTTGATGGAAATGTTTTATCGCTTTGTTTGTTTTTTTTACAAATCTGTGAATAGGCGAATTGGGTTTTGCTCTACAAATGAAGGAAAGTGATTTATTTTGATATTCAGTCATAGAATCTAGTTATGGCCATTTGTGTTATGTAGATGCCTTTAATCAATTTGATAAAAGAAAAAAAATGATGTCACGTTGTTTTGTTTGTTTAATCTTTTGTGTTTGTGTAATAACTCCAACAATTATGATGAATGAAGGAAGGTAGACGCTGCACATGAAAGCCACAGATGGACCGCTAAAGCAAACCTGGGACTTTTTATCGATTCATATCCTAAAAACTGCTGCAAATGAAATCTTTATTTGTTTAATGTGATGAAAATATGCTACAAAAGTCAAAGTGAATCAATGATTTATCTTTATCCATGTTTCCTTATGTATCTTTTTTAAAAGTGGGGAAGTAATAACTCTCGTTATGACTGTAATCTTTTTAAATGAAAAATGGATCTAATCATGACCTCAAATCGTTTTCTGTGTCTTTTTAAAGATTTCTGTGACTTTTTTCACTCTGTGTAGAAAAAAGACTTCATTCATTCATATGCCGCCTTTTATGTATTTCCCACATCTCACTCCTGTGACAGTGGCCAGCTCACTTCCTGTTTGATGTCCTTGTTGGTTTCTTCTGACTGTGTGTGTTCAGTACAGTCAGGCCCTTGTGTGTGTCCTGTCTCTGTTTGATTGTCTGTTTTTCAGAGAACCAAACACTGGGAGATGGCGATGGCGGGAATTAAAAAGTGGAAGCTGCTCTGATGTTTAATTCATCTGTGTTTGTCCTGATTCATGGAATCCTGCTCTTCCTCTTGGCGTCTCCGAGTGTCGCCGGCCTCGTGTTTGTTGCTGAAACCCGCTAGGAATAAAACAGAGGAAGAATCCAAGAATGGAGACGGGACAGCGTGATGAGGATATTTATTCACCCGACTTCCTAAGCAGCCATTCAGCTAAGACACACAGGTCTCTTTAATAATTCAAACGTGGTGCTTTATTCATTCACTACAGAGGAATCTAGGCTTCTATGCATGATAAATCATCGAGTGTGGGGGCAGCCTTGATGAAGTCTAGCTTTGTTTGAACAACTCTCTGTATTACATTTCCCAAAATTAGTTTATTGGCTAATTTATGGAAATGTCCCCAGAAACGTAAACATCATTTTCAAGTTTTGCAGTAAACACAATTCATCAGTTTCAGAACAACTTACTATAAACTCACAGTGGCCAAAATCAACAAAACTCATTCTTTTTGTGAGAAAGTGAATTAAGATAATAGAAGAGAGCAGAACTGTAAAGGGAAACTCTAGAGAATCGCTTGATTTGCACAAAGTTGAGGATTGTAAAAGATCTTTCATTTCCCATCATGCAACAAATTAGCATATTTTGATAGACCAAGTAAATGCCCCTGTCTTTCAAACTCCACACCTCCTAGGTAGGTGGGTAGGGTAGGGTAGAGTAGAGTAGAGTAGAGTAGAGTAGAGTAGAGTAGAGTAGAGTAGAGTAGAGTAGAGTAGAGTAGAGTAGAGTAGAGTAGAGTAGACAGATAGTAGCAAGTCTATGTACATATCTACAGTCCAAAGGACACTTCTATTGAGTATTCTGTTCATAGGAGCCAAAATGCCTAGTTTTCCTGTGTTTATTGTTTTGATTATTCTCATTATTTATTAACACTTGTTATTTTCGGCAATTATCACATGGGTGTGGCATAAGGTATTTAGTGCACCTAATGTGCCGGGCTTGGGTTGAATGACGAAGAGGGGGAGCTCAGAACCGTCTGGTCCTGTGCAAAGATGAGGCTCTGACCAATGTACTGCCCCCACTAACATGCATCAATCTGGTGCACTTTGAGGGGAAAACTAAGAGACTAGATCTAGTCTCAACACCCATGAAAAAAGATCTGTATACATTTTAATAATCAAAGAATGATGTAAACATAGCCAATAACATACCATGGCCAATAACAAATAAATGTAACTTATTTATTTCTATTTGTACACAGAAATACAAGAGGAGAAACCACAGGGGATTCACACGACTGAAGCATGAGCCGCCGTGTGAATCTGCAGTATACAACATCATTCAAATGAACTGCTTCTTTACCGGCTTTGATAACACTTAATGGATCAATAATTACATATACTTTATATTTTGATGCTAATACTTTTGTGCTTTAACTTGAGTAACCTTTTGAATGCAGGACGTTTACTTGTAACAGAGTACTCTGGTACTTTTACTTAAATAAAAGATCGGAGTACTTCTCCCACCTCTGTTCAGGGGTGAGATTTGATCCTTCAAAATCCTCTTGGAAATACCTTAGTGAGGAAAGAAATGAAAAGAATATCAATCTAAGAGTGCAGTGAAGATATTAGGTTTTTGATGTCCTAGTTTTTCATATTATTG